GTGTGCCCTCATCAGAGAAGGTGCTGTGCTCTATGAACAAGGCAGAATTTAAGTAGCTCAAAAGAAATTCGAGATGCCACATTTAGAGAAACCACCCCAAATGTTCACATGGACTATTTGTGCCCAGTCTGTGTCAGAGCATTCTGAGCTCATATCAGTCTGATCAGCCACAATCGGACGCACTGTCACTTGACTCTAATTTAATGATGTCGTTCCGTCCTCTTCGAGAACGAAGGACAATAGTCACTCTCTCACTAACATTTAGTATTGCCCTAACCACTGACTGCTTCCCTTTGGTCTATAAGCGCGTCTTTGTCTTCCCTCATCCTTAAAAAAAAGAAAACCCCCACTCCAACCATTCCTGCTAACTCTTATTCTATACCTTTGCTCCCTTTTGTGGATGAACTCCTTTACAAAGCTGTCTACTATTGGTGCCTCCTCTTCTTCTCTTCTATATCCTTTGAGGTTTGGCTTCTGATCTCATCATTAAACTGAAAATGCTGTCTCCAAAGTTACAAATAATCTCTTAATTGCCAGATTAAGCCTCAGTCCTTATTTTTCTTGACCTCTGTGTCAAGAGAGGCCTGTCTCCTGGATACTCTTTCTTCTCCAGCTAGATTGTGTGGCTCTGCTGTCTTTTGATTGTCTTCCTACCTGTCTGATGACTCCTTCTTAGTCTCCTTTGCTATTTCTAAATTATCAAATCACCTATCCCTGATTGCCTCAGTTTCCTCATCTGCAAAATAAGCTGGAGAAAGAATGGCAAACCACTCCAGTATCTCTGCCAAGAAAACCTCAATGGGGTTATGACTGAAAATGACTGAACAACAAACACCATCCAGGTCACATTCTCTAACCATGGGTGTTCCCCCCCAGGCTCTGCTAGGCTCTTGTCTCTTCTCTCTCTCTGTAGGGTCTCACTTGATGATCTTTTCAGTTATCATGGGTTCAGTTATCATCTCTAGAGTTAGGTGGTCTTAGAGACAAGAAGACCCGAGTTCTAGTCTAGCCTCAGACACTTAGTGGCTATGTGACCCTGGGCAAGTCACTGAACCTCTGTGTGACTGTTTCTTCTTCTGTAAAATGGAGATTATAATAGCATCTACCTCACAGGATGACTGTGAGGGTCAAAGGAATTCGTGTGTAAAAGAGTCATATAAATACTAACTAGTATCAGATGAGTCTCAGGTCTGTTTATCCAGCCCTTAACCTCTCTCCTGACTTCCGACCATCTCAAACTGGATGTCCTGTAGACATTTCAAACTCAGCACCTTTGAAACAGAACTAAGTATCTTTTCCCTCAAACCCTCTTCTTCCAGTTTTCCAGTTACTCTTGTCCCAGCCATCCAGGTTCACAACCTGAGTGCTGCCGTTGTCTCTCCTCGAATTCCCCATATGTCCAGTCTGTTGCCAAGTCTTGTCATTTCTCCTTCCACAACATCTCTCGTTGTTGTCCCCTTTTCTCCACTCCCGCTATTGCCACCCTGGGCTAAGCCCTAGTCACCTTATGTCTGAGACTTGCAGAAGCCTCCTCCATGATTTCCAGCCTCAAGTCTCTTCCCATTCTAAGCCGTCTTCCATTCAGTTGCCAAAATGATCTGCCTAAATTGCCATCCTAACCAGTCCCCTCACTTCCTCCAAATCAGTAAATTCCATTGGCTCCCTGCAGTCTCCAATACCAAACAGAAAATCTTCTGTCTGACTTTTAAGGCCCTTTACAAGCCTTCTTAGACTTTGCCTACTTCCTTCCCCACTCTCTGTGGCCAGTGCTGCTGGCTTTCTTGCTGTTCTTGGCACATAATACTCCATCTCCCAACCCTGGGCTTCCCTGACTTCCTTCAAGACTAAAAATCCTACCTTCTCCAATAGGTTTTTTCCAGTCCATCTGTTCCCCTTTCCCATCCCTACCCACCAGTGCCTTTTGCCAGAAATTAGCTCACATTTATGTTTAAATGACTTGTATGCATATAGTTGTTTGTGTGTTGTCTCCCACATTAGAATATGAACTTCTTGAAGGCAGAGGCCATTTCCCCCCCTTTCTTTGTATCCCCATTGCTTACCACAGTGCCTGGCATACAGTAAGTACTTAATAAATGCTTTGTATGGTTGTTGTTGTTAGTTATATAGTTGTGAATGTTATTCTTTGCATTTCTCAAAATCCTAATTGAGAAGATTTGTGTTTCCTGACATAACTAGTGGGTCTCTTGATTTTAGATACAGTTGACTTGATGTAGCTCAGTGAATCCATGGTGTCATTGATAGTAACACTGCTCTGCTAGCGGAGATCCTAACTCAGTTACACTGTGGGTTGTTATCCCTCTGGAGACATTGTTAAATTGTAGGCATTGTAACAATGTGTAGAGCAATGAAAACTTGCTCCTTTTGAGCTTCTACCTTGAAATCTATTACTTATGTCTGCTGTGCTTTAAACAAACATTGAGAAAAGTCACATTTTTGCAAGTAATCCTTTAGGGGGCTAGTGATTCATAATAAGATTTCTTTAATAAGCCTTAAAATGACAGTTTTAAAAAACCCAACCCTCACTCCTTTTTTTATCTATTGTATGAAATAAGATACATCTTCTATATTCTTGTCCAATGGTTGCCAAATCAAACGTGGGAAATGCACCATATTATGCATTTCCTTGGTCCTGAGTTCAGGGTGAGAGGCAGCCTCAGAATCGAGAAGAGCTGATCTGACATTGGTAGAGGGAGTTTCCGCACTGAGAGTTACCTATGCCAACAAAGTCACTGGTCTGATCTAAAAAACATTAGGCCAGGTATTTTCTGCTGATGCAGATCACAGGACCTTTATGACGTTCAGACAGAAAATCTTTTTTAACAGTTGGGGTTGCCAATAGACAACTCATACTGTGGCCAACAAGGTGAGATGCCTCTCAAACTTAGGCTGGTGGTGAGATAACAGAAAATAGGAGGACATTTTCTAGTTTTACACAATCTGCCAGAGCTGGTACTCCACCAGCATAGACTTAGAAGATTTAAGATAACTTTGATTCCCTGATGGCAGATCAGACAAGGGCTTGGAATAAGGTGAAATAAGATTGTAAAGTCAGAGTCGCTGTGATTCCACTCTTGCAGGACTAGAAGAGACCCTTGGAAATGCAACATGTTTGGGATTATTGCTGTTTTGGGGTTGAGGTGACTAGATAGAACCATCACCTACCTTTACCTTCTTCAAAAAAAGGTTTTGTTTTGAGGAAGACCTCATCCCAAAAGTGGATTATTGAGATTGCCACGTGTTGATTATTATATGACCAGCTTCAGTTTGCAAGTCACTTTAGCACTCTTTGTACAGAGAATCCAGAATATAACTGGACAGTCCTAGTTTGAGGAAAAAGTGTATTTAATCCCCAAATATTACTAAGAAAAACAGATTGGAGCAAGGTCGCCGAAAGCTTGGGAATGTCAGAACTACCCAGATTCTATCTAATTAAATTCAGTTCACATTGCTTTTGTGCCTATTTCCTTTAATGTTTTAGAAATGAATCATCCCATGTCCTGTCATATTCACAGTTCCTGAGAAAGGATGCTTCTCTTGGAATGTGTAGCAAGGATGTCCCCTTTCTACCTCTCTCTTCTTCCCCATTTTCCGCAGTCATCTGATTCTTTGGAGACAGTTTAATTGAAGTATTAATTTAGAGGATTCTTGACAGTTATGGCAAATTTAGGCAGTTACTTATATCATGAACAAACTAAGAAATGGTTTAGATCAGTGGTGTCAGACTCAAATAGAATTTGCAGGTTCCATAGTGACTTCAAAAACCACAAATTAACATTATCTGTGTTGTGTTGTATGTTTATTTATTTTGTTAAATATTTCCCAATTATATTTTAATCTGTTTCTGACTTCGGGACTTTGACACCTCTGGCTTAGAGAGTATTACTTTCCTTGTTACTTCTTATAAAGATCAAACCTAGATGATTATTTCAAGGAGAAAAACCCAGCAAGATTTTGTTTTTAAGGAATAGTCATTACACCAAAAGTTTGGGGAAACTATGTAGATTTCTAATCATTTCAGCACTTGTTGGGAATACCACAGTAAGAAATAGATCAATTACAAATGAAGAGAACCTACTTTTTTTCTGAGTCCTGAGACCAAAGAGTCATTAGGAATTCTTTTTTTTTTTAAGGTGATTGGAGTTAAGTAACTTGCCCAGGGTCACACAGCTAGTAAGTGTGAAATGTTTGGTCTGAGGCCAGATTTGATCTCAGGTCCTCCTGACTTCAGGGCCAGTGCTCTATCCACTGTGCCATCTAGCTGCCCAGTCATTAGGAATTCTTGAAGATTTGTGCTGAGCCAGCAGCAGGTGCCTCTCTTTACAGGCTATAACTACAGTTTCATAGCTTGGTATTAACATTGATTTATGAAGGAATTTGCACAAATTTCTCTTTTGTTTTGGAGGTTGGGCAGTGGTCTTGAACCGTGTAAGATATAAGTATCTCTGGTCTACGTTCAATGCTGGATATCTATCACATTCCTTCTTAATCATTGTTATTCCATAATAGAACATGACAATATACTTCAATATTTTCTATTTCTTGAAAATAAAGTATGCAATATGTTTACTTCCTATGTTTCCAACTCATTTTGATGTGAATAAGGCTAGTTGTATTAGCATTTTAAGTCCGACCTCTGTAGACAAAAAGTTACTAGATGTTTTGAGGTAATTACTGTTTTTTACTTAGTGCCAAAGCAGTAATTTTAAGGGCTATGTTAGAAAGCTAGTAATTTCCTGTCACGGACTGACAGATGTTTTGCCCACAAATGAGATCTGCTTTCAAGCTTTGGCTAATTATGAAGATATGCAGTTTGATTTTCTCTTTGCACTTCAAAACTCAATTTCATTTTCCTGTTTTCTGGGCTTTGTGGTATAAGTTCCATTTTTCTTTCTTTGGGGGCAGGATGATCCATGAAAAGCTTGAACACTGTTTATGAGAAGACATCATTCTCTAACCGTACTGTTTTTGACTCCTTCTAGGTTCTTATCCCTCCCCTAAAGCTGGAGCTACTCTAGTGGTGTACAAGGACTTGCTTGTGTTGTTTGGGGGCTGGACACGGCCGAGCCCTTATCCTCTGCACCAACCTGAGAGGTTCTTTGATGAAATACACACTTACTCACCCTCTAAAAATTGGTAAGGATTGCAGAGGAGAGTCTTTGATTGAAAGTCAGGAATCTGTTCCTCTGAAAGGTTTAGCAGTGAGGAAGGGCTCAACAAATTTAGGTTCTTGAATTAATGGAATATTACTTTACCATAAGAAATTATGAATATGAAGCAATCAGAGGAGCTTGGGAATACTTACATGTAAAACAGCCAGCACCAGGAGAACAATAGACATAGTGAGTGCAGTTGTGTGCACAGCCAGACTAGAAGCACAACTGATGCTTCCCCAAAGAAGGGTTGAGATTCACCCCCTTCTTGGTACAGGTCAAAGACTGTGGGTGGGGAACATTGCATTGAATTGTCAGCTGATAGGTTGCTTAGTTTTGTGAACTTATTCCCCCCCCCTTTTTTTATTCTGTGTTATAAAGATTAGCTTGCTGGGGAGGGAAAGAGGTATATTCATAAATGAAGATGATATAAAAACAAAACAATAAAATTTTAAAGAATAACAGTAGCCCACATACTTGAGATTAATAGAAATTTCTCGTAATGAAAAAGTAGGAGTGATTACTACCTCCTACCTCTAGTCCTGAAATAAGTGATAAGAACCCTGTTGTGTCCTAAGACCTTGGCTGCTCTTACTCTTGGAATGCCCTGTACCTTGAGAATCCAGCAGTTTGCAAAACAATTGCAAGACAAATGAGTCCTTATCCCCTCCTGTATTTTTCCAGACTCCTAACAGCTTGAAAATTTTTTACTTACCAAATGAAAACAATCTCCTTTTTCCATAATGAAACAAATACTGAGCACAGGGCTCTTCCACAGGAATGCTTGTTAAATGTTGTGTGACTGTTCATCAAGGTAAAATGAGGAAAAGTTGCTTTTTGTCCATTGTAAGACTCATTTAGCAAAGCAGTTCGAAGGCATTGGGAGCTGTATGGACATTTCATATGAACTACGTACAGTAAGAATTTAGATTTAAGGAATATGGCAGCGTGGAGTTGGGAAGCAGATAGTCTGCTAGCAAGATGAATGGCTTCTGGTGTTTAAACGTAGACATCCTGATTCCTTTCTGTTGTCATCTTTCAATAGGTGGAATTGCATAGTAACAACGCATGGACCACCACCTATGGCAGGCCACTCCTCCTGTGTGATAGAGGACAAAATGATTGTCTTTGGTGGTTCCTTAGGATCCCGGCAAATGTAAGTGTGGACGGCTTGATTGGTCAGTTGGAATGATCTGTCCTGGGAGTCTTCTCTTGGCACTGTTCTGAAAGCACATGGTCATCAGAAGCATGTCTGATTTCAGCTTTGGGTGTTGAGACAGTGAGGTCATCCAGTGCATAGAGCACTGCTCTTGGGGTCAGGAAGAATGGACCCCAAGTCATTTACTAGCTGTGCGACTCTTGCCAGGGCACGTCCTTCTCTGAGGCTCAGTGTCCTCTGCTGTAAAAAGAGGAGGTTGACCTCAGTCGTCTCCAAGGTCCGTCTGAGTTTGTGCAGTAAGTACAAGAGGCCCATAGGGCAGAGATTATGAACAGTTTAGTTCATTTACTCAGGGCATCCCGGGTGTAGAGAGAGCACTGTGCTTAGCACTGGGGGAAGAGCACAGTCTTGATAAGATAGGGTCTCCTGGGGGGCATAGGGGTACAAGGATAAGACACAGTCCTAAGTATCATCTCCTCCTCTTATGTGTTGTAGTTAAATCTGTGAATTTCTTTGTGAGGTTCAGTTTTGTCACCTAAGTGGAGCTGGGGAGGCTTCATGGCGCTGGATAGAGTTTGAATAGGGCTTAAAAGGATAGGTGGGCACTTGGCTGATGATCCAGATTGATGAGGCTGATTGGAAAGGAGAAGATGGAAAAAGGGAGTAGGAGCAGTGGCAATCATCTTCATCAAAGCTTCCTGTGTTTCCTCTTCCCTATTATTGTGTGACAGACATAGTCTAGGACAGGAGTGGGGAACCTGCGGCCAGCTTGGGTGCAGCCTTTTGACTGACTCCAGGTTTTACAGAATCCTTTTATGAAGGGGGTTTGTTCTGTGAAGTTTGGATTCAGTCAAAGGGCTACACTTGAGGACCGAGAGGGCCATGTGTGGCCTTGAGGCTGCAGGTTCCCCAGCCCTGGTCTAGGACCAAGAGACAGTGGAATCCAACTGCGTTATTATTTATGCCAGTGACTGTCAGCTCCAGGAGTGCTTCAACAACTCTACCTCATGTTCTGTTGTGAAATTTCTAGGAGTGAAACCATTCTAGAAAGGGCTCTCCCTCTTACTGTCACCCGGTGCCAGCTAGAAGTGTCACCCACGGCAGGCGTGTTCTGTGTTCCCATCTTTACATACTGAGCCAACCTAGGGAGAAGTTATTCAGCTCATCCTTATGTATGAAGGAAAGTCATTTTAATTTATTGCAAGTTTACATTAAAATGAGGAAGGTAGTATGATGTAATGGAGAGAGTTTGGAGTCAGAGGACTTGAGTTCAAATTTTAGTCCTGCTACTGGTGTGACCTTGGGCAAGTCACCTAACTCATCTCTGGGCCACAGGGTTAGGATAGATGTCCCCTAAAATTCCTTGTAGCTCTAATTCTCTCATCCTATGAATTCAAGAAGTAGGAAACTCTAGAGGTGATTATTCATAATAAAATGGAAATTGCTGCTTGTAGTAAGCCAGCCTTTACTCCCTTGTTGATGTGAAGGTTTAATGCCAGAGTGTTCTATTGAGGTATTCATCTGCCATGTGCTCATCTGGCCTTCCTTAGTCTTTGTGAAGTTGTCCTTTTTTCCCCCTTAAGGAAGAAGTCATTGAGTCCTAAGAGCTCCTAGAAGGAGATAGGGCCTGGTGTTTGGCTGTTTTCATTTTCTTTCTTCTGGCCTTTACCTTGAAAAGAAATGGTTTGGGCTCTTTCAAAAGCTTCTTATGGAGAATCATCATTTACCCTGCTCTTGGTTAAGTTCCTTTGTGTATTAATTAGTGAATAGATCTTGTCCCAGAAAGAGGCAGTTTTGTGTCATGGAGAGAGCACTGAATTGGAGGCCGAGAGGCCAAGGGCCTGGTCTTGCCTCTGCTACTTATTAGCTGAGTGACTCCGGAAAGAATGGCATTCCTTGTAGCCTCCTCTTCCACCTCTGAAACACATGGGGATTGTATGTGTGTTCTCTAACCACTCCTGTAGCTCTGGCGGTCTGTGCTCAGCAGAGATGCTTACTTGTGTACAGGCTGGCTCAGGGATGTTGGTCCTGCTCGTTCTGCTAGCTAGTGATGAAGGACTCTGCATGGCCTTGTATAATCAGCTTTGTGATTGTGTTCTTATCTTCCAGGAGCAATGATGTTTGGGTCCTCGACCTCGAACAGTGGGCCTGGTCCAAGCCTAATGTCTCTGGCCCCAGCCCTCACCCTCGAGGTGGCCAGTCTCAGGTGCCTAGTAGTTACAGTTATTCTTCAACAGATTCCACAGCATATTTTGGTTGGGAACAAGGGTGGAGGACGTCACGGGGTGGAGAAAGGGGGATCTCAAAGGAGCTACCACACAATTATAATATGCCCTCAGCTGAGGAGAGTTCACTGTTCTCTTTTGCTTGCATTAAATTTCCAGCTCCTAATGGATGTTGCTTATTTATAGTTGGTGTTGATTTTGCCTCTCCTAAAGCCTTGAGTTCACTTATTACTTTTGGCGAGAGATGGTTCATTGTGTGTGACCTGCACTTTTATTTTAATATATGACCAACCAAAAAAAAAAAGATTGTAATGAAGCATATTTCACTTAAATTTCACTAGGAAACATTTCCTAATTTCCCTTCAGTGGACTTTTTGAACACCAGTTGAGTGACCTTGTCAGAGACACGGTAGAGCAGATTTCTTTCTTTTAATTAACCTGGTAACTAAGAGGGCCTCTGAGGCCCTTCCAGCTTTGAGGTTCTGGAATTCTGTTATCAAGTGAATCACTAGTAATTTGTTTATATTAAATAACTAGACTTTTCATAAAAACCCTAAATTTAGGGGATATTAGCAACTAGAGTGGTCCAGTTTTCTGTTTTGGGAGTGGTTTGGGTATTAAGTACATACCACCAAGACATAAGGCAGATAATTGTGTGTTTATAAGGTTATTTTAAATTTTTTCTCTTCCCGCCTTTCAGATTGTCATAGATGATGAAACTATCCTGATCCTTGGAGGATGTGGTGGCCCAAATGCAGTAAGTACAGAGAATACTGCCTAAGAATGGTTTGGAACCATGCTTCTTAGACCCCAAACCCCTGGGAGAACTTTGTCCTCACCTTCCTTTGGTCTACAATGTTTCTTTGTCTCACTTCCTTAGGGAAAGCTGCTAGTGATCGTCCCTTTGGGGCTTTACTGACTGCTGATAGAGCACGGAATGTAGGAGATGCTGGCATCGTCATCCTGGCCCTGACAGGAGACGTGGGGCCTTGGCGAAGCTCCTCTCTTGGCCCACAGGACAGCTCTTTTTTATTTAAAGATTCAATGATTTATTTATTTTGAGTTTTCAGCATTCACTTCCACAAGATTTTGAGTTCTAGATTTTCTCCCCATCTTGTCCCTTCCCCAACCCCAAGACAGCGTGCATTCGGAATACCCTTTCCCCTAATGTGCCCTCCCTTCTATCCCCCCACCCCCCACTTCTCTTATGCCTTTCCTCTTCTTTTTTCCTGTAGGGTAAGATAGATTTCTATATCCCATTACCTCACAGGACAGCTCTTACTGCATCTCTCAGGGACTCTTGTAATTACAGAATGTACTCAAGAAATAAGAGTAGATATTAATGGGAACTTTAGTCATAACTTGGGTGGCTGGCTCTTTTTTCCTGTACTTGAGACTTTTTTCTCTTTGTTTCACAAACACCTTGCATTGGCAGCATTTTGTGCACAGTAGGGGTTTTGTAAATGTTTGTTGAATTGGGCAAGACTTGGAATTTTGATCATCTTTGGTTCATAAGTCATAAGCCAGGTGTCTTTTACCTAGAATTTGTTGATTCTTTGTAAGACCAGTCCTGTAGCCCTAGGTCCCTGAGGACTTTCTGCACTGTGTGCCTCTTCATGAAATATCACACATTGAGCCTGAGCTGTAGTCATGTCTGGGTTTTTCCCTACAGCTGTTTAAAGATGCTTGGTTACTGCACATGCACTCCAGCCCGTGGACCTGGCAGCCCCTCAGGGTAGAGAATGAAGATCATGGAGCCCCAGAGCTGTGGTGCCACCCAGCCTGCCGGGTAAGTTTGTGAAGGGATCAGCATGTTGTAGGGGAGACTTGGCATAGGTGTCCACATTAGCTGAAAAGCTAAGGTGTTAGAGGAGGTTTGTGTGAGGAGGGAGTTTTCTCAGCATGCTAAGGTGGTCTGGTAGCCTTTCTCTGTTGCTGGGTAAGTAGATGGGCACTGACCCCAGCCCTGCAGCAGCTCCCATCAACGCTGCTTTGATTTCATCATAACAGTATCTTAGAGAGCACACACTAGCTCTGACTCATGAAAGAGCCCGTATTTCCTCTGTACAGTACCATAGAAGCTCAGAGTCATCCTGGCCTAACCCACAGCTGCCAAGACTCTCTTCTGCAGTATCCCTGTAAGTGGTAATGGGAGCCATCTCCAGTTGTCCTGATCTATGTCTGGCTACTGGACCCAGACAGCTCCGGAGGAGAGAGTGAGGCTGGTGACCTTGCGCAGCCCTGCCTCACTTCAGTCCAATTCACTTGCAAGTCATGACGTCACATCCCCGGTATCGTGGTTCCCTTCAGGAACCAAGGACAAACAGCAAATGCTAATACGTCTTATGCTTGAATACCTCCAATGAAAAGGAGCCCACTGCCTTCTTTAAAATTTTTTTTCATTGATGCTTTTTGTTTTTTATATCACCATAATTTCTCTTGGTATTCCTTCTCCTTCCCCACCCACGGAGCTATGCCAATTACAAAGAATATTTTTAATGAAACAAAAAAAGGAAAATGAAAAAAATCAGCAAAACTAATCAACACACTGAAAAAGTCGGAAAATACATGTAGTGTTCCACACTTAACGGCCCTTCCACTCTGCAAAGGAGTAGATTGGAGGTGTCCTCTCATCTCTGATCTTTGGCCTCTTTTTTTTTTGTTATTTATAATTTTGCAACCATTTTGGTGGGTTTTTTTTTTTTGTGTTGGTTCTTTCCCTTTACATTGTTGTAATCGTTATGTGTAATCATTGGCTCTGCTGACAGTACTCAACATCAGTTCATGTAAAACTTTTTATACTTCTTTATATTTGTCATTTCTCAAGCCCAGTGATTTGCCAGTTCATTCATTACCACAGTGGTTTAGCCGTTCTCTGATCTGAGGGCATCTACTTTATTACCCAGTTCTTCGCTACCACAGAAAGTGCTGCCATAAATATTCTGGTGTATATGGGAACTTCTTATTAGTGATTTCCTTGGGGTCTATGCCTAGTAGTAGAATGTGAGTCAAGGGATATGTACATTTTAGTCATTTTATTTGCATCATTACACCTTCTTTCCACCACTGTTGGTAGTGCTCATTCACAGCTCCACCAACAGTGCATTAGTGTGCCTGTCTTCCCATAACTCCTTCAACATTGATTATTTCCATCTTTTCTCATCTTTGCCAGTTCACTGGGTCTGAGGTGAAACCTCAAGGTTGTTTTAATTTTCATTTCTCTTATTAGTAGTGATTCTTTCACATGGTTGTTAAAGAATTTGAAATTCTTTTTAGAACTGTTTATATCTTTTGACTATTGGGGAATGACTTTAAGTCTTTTATAGATATGTTAGTTGTTTCTTTATCTAGGATACCAAACTATATCTAAGAAATTTGATAAAAGATTTTTCTCCCAATTTGACTTCTTTCCTTCTCATCCTAGGTACATTAATTTTGTTTGTGTAGAAGCTTTTCAGCTTCATATAATTGAAGTCATCTATTTTATCTTTTGTAATTGCCTCTGTCCCTTGTTTGGGTAAGAATATGTCTCCTATCCATAGCTGTCAAAAGTACATGACCTGCTTCTCTTTTAATTTTTTGATGGGTATGATTTTTTTTATTAAAGTTGGGTATCATTTTTTGTTTATCTTAGATTGTGATCTAAGCCTTATTTCTGCCACACTGCTTTTCAGTTTTCCCAATAGTTTTTATCAAATAGGGAGTTCTTTCCTAAGTATGTTATGTTTCCCAGTTTATTGGACACCGGTTTATTGAATTTAATTGTTTCTGGTTCTCCTATGTCTACTGTCTTCCATTGATGTACTTGTCTATTTTTAACCAATGCCGGATGAATCCACTGAAAGCTCTAGGAAATGTTTCCTTCTGTCAAGGCTAAATCTGCCTTGGAAACCTACCCTTGCTGCTCTTCATTCTGACGTGTAAGCCAAGCAGAACTTGTCTAATAATTCACCTTCCATTAATTCCCAAGTAGGTAAAGACAGTTGATCATGTCTTTCTTCTCTAAGCTAAATATCCCCAGTTCTTTCAACAAGTCCTCCCATGACAAGGTCTGGGGGCCATCGTCATCTACTCCAGTTCTCCCTTGCGGTGTCCAGAACTCTGCACAGTATTGAAGGTGCAGTCTAATCAGGGCAGAAGACAATGGGATCACCCCTTTCCCTGTTCTGGACACTGTCCAGGGCAGGCTCTTGACTTGGGCTTGTAATCTATTAAAATTTCCACATAGGTTTCACCTAAGCTATGGTTGTAGCCTTTGATGAGGTTCCCTGTTACCCGGCCTTTAGGTATGAGAGGTGCAGAAATGACTAGCTCCCCATCCTCTCCTCCTGCCACTGGTTGGTTTGTTGTTTTTTTAACTCCTATACAACCTCACATTTATTCGTGTTCAATTTCTTCTAAGGAGATTCAGTCCATTATCCCATCCTGTTGGGTGCAGTAGCAGAGTTGAGCAGTATTTCTTTGTCTTTCAGGTGGGCCAGTGTGTGGTGGTTTTCAGCCAGGCTCCCAGTGGAAGAGCGCCCCTCAGCCCAAGTCTGAACTCCCGCCCGTCTCCCATCAGCGCCACTCCTCCAGCTCTGGTACCTGAAACCCGAGAGTACCGCTCCCAGTCTCCAGTAAGAAGTATGGATGAAGCGCCTTGCGTCAATGGTCGCTGGGGAACCTTACGCCCCAGGGCACCGAGGCAGACCCCATCAGGATCCCGAGAAGGGAGCCTTTCCCCCGCCAGGGGTGATGGCTCTCCTGTCCTCAATGGTGGAAGCTTATCCCCAGGAGGAGCAGCAGCTGGTGGGGCCTCCCTGGACAGCCCTGTTCAGGCAGTCTCTCCAAGTACCCCATCATCAGCTGAAGGCTATGACCTAAAAATAGGGCTTTCTCTGGCTCCCCGGCGAGGGTCCTTGCCAGATCAGAAAGACCTGAGATTGGGATCGATGGATTTGAATTGGGATCTCAAACCTGCTTCCAGCAGTGGTCAGGTGGACGGCATGGACGCCAGGACAGTCGGGGGGAGTGTGAGGAATCCTCCAGAGCAGACAAATGGAGTCCACACACCTCCCCACATGGCCAGTGCTCTCACGGGAGCTGTGTCCCCAGGCGCTCTCCGGCGGAGCCTGGAAGCTGTCAAAGCCCTTTCCTCTAAGGGGCCACCTGCCCCTGCAGCACTGAGTCCCCCACTGGTGTCTTCCCCTGGATCCCCAGGGAGCCAGAGCGTGAGCAGCGTCGAGACGGTGCCCATCCCGCGCCCCGGGCCTGCCCAGGGTGACGGGCACTCCTTACCTGCCATCGCCCGGCGCTTGGGCCACCATCCACCACAGTCTCTGAACGTTGGCAAGCCTTTGTACCAGAGCATGAACTGCAAGCCCATGCAGATGTACGTGTTAGACATTAAAGACACTAAGGAGAAAGGGCGGGTCAAGTGGAAAATATTTAACAACAGTTCTGTGGTTGGCCCGCCTGAGACCAGTCTGCACACAGTGGTGCAAGGCAGAGGGGAACTCATCATTTTTGGTGGCCTCATGGACAAGAAACAGAATGTGAAGTACTATCCCAAAACAAATGCCTTGTACTTTGTGCGAGCAAAAAGATAATATGGCAAAAACTTGCTTCCAACCTTTTTCCTTTCTGTGGCTTTTAATTTTGAATTTTACACTGTCATGCAGGCATTCAAACTGTGAATTGGGCAAACAAAGAATTAAGTAGCCCCACAAACCAAAACCCCAATTCCCAATCTAATGCTCGCTCTGGGCTAGGGTCAGATCCCCATTTAAAAACAAATTATATCAAATGTCTATATCTATATCTATATCTATATTCTATAGCCAACTCTGTTTACAAAAGGGGAGAAATCTCCGTGCTCGTTCAGATAAAATTGTTGCTGTGTTTTAGCAGAGGCTCTGCTGCCTTTTTCTGTTCTGCTGGTAATTAGACCAAGAATTTAGGGAACAGATCACCTAATCTCAGTTCCCTTCCAAGAGAACTGAGGAGTATCAGGTAAGACGAGGTGCAGGAGGGGGTGCCCATGAACTCTTGTCACCTGAGAGCTCAGTGCGCTTAGGGCCAGACCCAGGGTCTGCATAGAAGCTAGTAGAGGAGGAATGGTGGTGAGAAAGGAAGGTGACAGTGATGAGGGGAAGCTGTTCCACGTCTGTGCCAGGATCGTCATGAAATAGTGTGTTTGTGCCCTGGCCACAGGTTGGAAGGAGTAGGGCTAAAGCATTTGTTTCTGATTATGAAATCTCTGACTATCACATTTGGTTGTGAGCTGCCAAAACCCACGTCCCCTTCACTTGCTCTCCCTTAAATGTCCTCTTGTGGAATCTGCTTTTCCTTCTTGTAGGATTTCTATGCAAATGTGGATATGTGGGGTTGTTTAAAGCCCTACACTTCAACACTTTGCCGATGAAAGTACAATTGAGGCTTGGAAGCCTAAGACGATCACATACTTCTCAGAAATATTTAGGGGGCTTGACTTTTTCCCAGCATCCTTGGCAAGCCAGTGGAGAATTCCAAGATGCTTTGAATCATCCGAGGCTTTACACATAAGATATTTTTAGCACCTTAAAATTGCTTTCTCTTCTACACTTTTTTTTTCTGCCAGTGAGCATCAGATGTATGCAGCCACATTTGTGAAGGATGTGAGAAGTTGGAGGGCAGATATTTCTCATCCTTAGAAAGGGTTGGTCTTATTAGATGGATAGGAAAGGGTCCTTTTCCCAGAAATCATTTTGGTCCTTTCTGCATCTGTGTTCCCTGGTTTGCCATCTTGATGTCAAGAGATTCAGTTCAAGTTGTGGAGTCTGGTGAAGCTGACTCTGACCTGACGAGGAAGCTCTACCCGCCACAGGCCTCCGGACAGCACCAGAGTCCGTCACGTGCAGCTTGGGTATTTGTCTCCTTCTCTTCTGAGATAAATTGTTCCGAACAGATGAGGTGCTCTGGCAGTCTCCAAAACCATGGCCTGGACGCAGGAAATACTGGCAACAACCTAACTCTGATGGCATTAGCAGGTATCAGGCTGATCACTTAATTGTGATTATTGGTGATTTTTAACATTCACATATGATTTTTTTTTTAAATGAAAAGTTGCCTCTCCTCCCCTCAGTCTTGTTGGAGTTTCCCAAATGCAAGTGATAGAAGAGATTTGATTTCTGCTAGTTCTGGGGACTTGCTTTTTAGCCAACCCTTGGAATTTATTTGATGAAAAAGGGTTCTTTCTTTTCTCGTGGTGCAGTGTGCTCTCCCGATGTGTAATGTCTGGTGCTGGTTGAAAAGCTCTCCTGTTGCCAAGTCCCCTTAGGAGCCAGTTCCCATCAGCGGGACGTGTGTCTGAGAAGCTGTTCCATCCTGACTGAGCAGTCCTCACGCGTGCCTACTTACTGTATTGCCTGACTCGTTAAAGCTCAGCATGCATCTCCCCCACATAACCTGGGGAGGGGCTTTTTCCAGTTCCCATTTGGCAAGGACTGTTAGGTTGTGTGGGCTCTCCAGTCAAACTGAAGATACACACTAGAAGAATAATAATTTAGCCATGGTTACTTAATAGAGAGCAACTTTATCCATGAAATTGTGTTTGTGAGCAGTTGTCTCCACACCCAGTTCCTATTTAAACATAATTAAGCATCTAGAAGATAAGGAGTTGGGGGGGGGGTGGGCAGGAATCTCCATGAAGGGTTGAAATCACACCTTGAAAAGAAACCCCTTAATTCTGCTCTATTGACTTTCTAACTGGTCATCATTGCTCCTATATCCTCAGAGAGGAGGCAAAGGAGGGGTAGGGGGGTGTGTGTGTGTGTGTGTGTGTGTGTGTCCTCAGAGAGGAGGCAAAGGAAGGGTACGGGTGTGTGTGTGTCTGTGTGTCTTCAGAGAGGAGGCAAAGGAGGGGTAGGGATGTGTGTGTGTGTGTGTCCTCAGGAGGCAAAGGAAGGGTACGGGTGTGTGTGTGTCTGTGTGTCCTCAGAGAGGAGGCAAAGGAGGGTTAGGGTGTGTGTGTGTGTGTGTGTGTGTGTGTGTGTATTTGTTTCTGCTGCCCCAGAAAGTTATCTCAGATACCTTTGGAATCTGAGGGAATACAGTGTTGCACACACAATCCAAAACAAAACCCAGCATTTGTTTACAGCTCTTCAAGTCATCTTCCTTGTCCCCACACATCAGTCTTGGTATTAGCTAGGTGACACCTGCTTCATGTTCCTTCGATCTGGTTGCCACCAAACTCCAACAGCACCATTGCCAAGTATCATCAGGGGCTGGTCAAGAAACTTGAGCCTGGTCAAGCTGGACAGTGTGGACAGAAAGCTGACATAACCAAGGTGGTTGTCTCCTCAGGACCACTTGGAAGCCACATGCAGCGTGGCACACCAGGTGGGTGAGCCGAGGCGAGTGTTTCCATGGTGCATCGGACAGAGTCTCAGCTGGATGAGACGTCACCGTCGCTCTGTCTCAATACTCTCTGCGCCAATTTTGTCTTAAGATCAACAGAGAAAAATGAGACAAAACTTATTTTTAAACACACCTCAGGAGCACCTAAAATGAATATTTATCAGTATTTAAATATTTAAGATAAATTTGAAGCTATACTTGAAGCTTTAACCCCTTCCATTCCTGCAAGAGTGCCTTCAAGATTCCCGGCATTGCATTGACTTTGAAATTCACCTCATTGACTCTGTAGCAAGATTTTGAGTATGTTCCCACCCTTCCGTGGACAGGACTGAAAATTCTTTCGTCTCACTTGATATATACAGCGTGGGTTTCGGGAAGAGGGATGAGGGTGGGAAGGTTTGGTTGCACATCTCCATTGTTCTTCCAAATAGGGGTAGTGGGAGTTTTGCCTCTTTGGGAAGAGCATAGAATATGTCTACACAGAAACAAGATTCCCCTTTCTCCTCCCCCCCTTTTTTTCTTTTAAGGCAAAGCTAGAGTTAACCATTCTCCCCGGCTTCTGTTTGCATAACTTCATTTTTGGATTCTTAAGGTTTACAACAAAAGATGAACGTATCAAAAGTAATCTAAGAATGGCATTGAGACCTTTACATTCTGTTTGATTAACTGGAAGGGTCAGTGACCTTTGACTACAAAAAGCTTATAGTAAGTGGAGAATGAATACCTTCCCCTTACCTGTCTCTCTCAGTCTCTTTCTGCTTTGCTTCTTCCCTTCCCCCTCCAAGTGACATTCCTTCTGTCCTCGTTCCCGTGGTGATCCAGGCATGGTGATATACGCTGCTTTGCATCATGTGTGGTCTCTTACCAGCTCATAAGTCAGCTGAAACGGTCACAACAACCCCCAGCCCAAATCAGCAGAAGCCAGGACTTCTTTCTCCCATCTCCTGCTCTGCACCTTCCCTGACTCCTTCCCACCATGTGTTGCAGAAGGCATGTTCTGCAGGGTTACCAGTAAATGACTCCCACAGTGGTTCATTGTAAAAGGGGAGAGGAGCGTTAGTGGTGACTCCTCTGCACTCCACCCTTGCACTCCACTCTTGCCAGCCAGGGTTCCTGGCAGTGCATACAGCCTGAGCTCTGCTAGAGCTTAGGGCACCACATGATTTACCCTGGAATAGTCATTTTAGGCACACAAGTGTAGGAATGATTTCATTGGTATTTAAATCCATGTCAATTTCATTTTTTGTTTGTTTCCCGCTGATGAATTTTTAGCAGTTTAACAAATAAAAAGGAACTATGGAGAGAATAGTTTCCATTTATTATTATTATTATTATTCTATTAAAAGCCCTCCTCGGTTCATGGCATGGCGTTGACCTTGGTTCTTCCAGACTGTGCCATTGGGACAGAAGATCCAGCAGATCCTTCCAGCTAGCAGAGGCTTCCGACTCCCTGATTGTGCCTGTGAATGGGGGACCCGCATGGCTAAGAGTGGACAAGCTTGTCCGGGCTAGATTCCGTTTTGGGTGCCCAAAACCAAAAGACCATTTTGTATTAATTGTTAGCAAAAAATGTTGGAGCTTTGGATACTGTGAGAGCAATTGAAGTTAAGGCATTTCCACCTATTTCACCACTATGTTTGTTGAAGGAATATTGAGTCCTGTTGGGGTGAGGAAAAGAGATGTGAGCCTTCCATCTCTCCATAACAATCACCCTTAAAGGACTTGGGGCTTCCAAGCTTCAGGGCTGCCCCCTTAGAGTGTATCTGAGAGAGATGATGCAGGTATTAGAATGAGGGCCCTTGATATCAGGGAATTCTGTGCTGCTCTGCCGGTATGACCTAGAACAAGATTGAGTGATCAACCAGCAAACATTTAATAAGCATCTGTGGTGTGCCAGGTGCTGTTTTAGGTGCTAAACAAAACAAAAATGAAACAATCCCCTCCCTACCAGTAAGGAGCTTACATCTTGACATGTATATGGATAGGTGTTAGCAAAATAGATACAGGGTGATTCGGCAAGGGAGAGCAGCATAGCAGGAATACGGAGAGGCTTCATGTAAAAAGAACTCCATCTTAAAGGAAAGTAGGTCTTCTGAGAGGGGAGGGATGGGGAGTAGGGAAGTATAAACTTAAGGCATGGGGGACAGAGCATGGAGTGCCATGGGTGAGAAACAGAAAAAGGCCACTTTAACTGGACTAGAGAGGATTTCTGTGCGGTGAGTCTGGAATGGTAGGTTGTGAAGGGGCTGACGTGCCAAACAGAGCAATTTGTAATTGATCGTCGAAGTAATAGTGAGCTACTGTAGTTTATTAAGAAAGGAAATGATAGGGGCAACTAGATGGCGCAGTAGATAGAGCACTGGCCCTGGAGTCAGGAGGACTTGAGTTCAAATCAGGCCTAAGACACAAAACATTCACTAGCTGTATGACTTTGGACAAGTCACTTAACCCCCAATTGCCTCACTAAAAAAAAAGGAAATGATATGTGCAGACCTGTGCTTTAGGAAAATCGCTTTGATATCTTTATGGAGGATGGATCAGAATAGTGACTCAAGGCAGGGATGCCAGTTAAGAAATGTGCAGTAGTCCAAACTAGAGGTTCGATGGCCTGAACTAAGATGGTAGCTGTGTAAGGGGAGAGTCAGCCAATAAACATCTATTAGGAGCCTACTATGTGCCAGACATTGTGCTAAGCACTAGGAAGGCAAATAGGAGTTAAAAAAAAGAATTCCTGCCCTCAAGGAGCTTATAATCTAATGGAGATGGACAACACCCAAAAGGAAGGGGAGGAAGAAGGGATGTGATGGAGAAAGTCCTAGGAAGTCCAGAATCCAAGGACTGAGCCTAGAGACTCTTGTAAAAGATAGTGACAATGTCTTGAAACTTGGTGGAAAGTATTGGTTACAGTGTTCCGAAATTAACATGCAATATTTTACCTACTTCCCCCTAAACACACACACACACACACATTTATTTTTTCCCATTTGTATCCAGGCCAGCGTTTAGTTGTCATTTAAAGTACGTAATATACAGATAGCACTGAACGGGGACCTGGGGATCTCCAGAGAATAGAGCTCACAGACTAGGGGAGGCACTAGGCAGCCATACAAATAACTGTAGACGTCATTCAGTAACTGCATCAGAGAGGGGTACTCAGAGTACTTTGTCAGGGCCAAGAGGAAAGGAAGACCGGGGCTCTAAGAGTTGGAATTCAGAAGGCGAACAGGAGAAGGAGGAAGGTTCATCCCAGGCATGGGTCGGGGGGGAGAGGGAAGCTGATAACCTTGAACCTGTGGCAAGAGGTCACTACAAGAAGCCCTAGATCTCTTGCTTTTTCCCATTTTGGTGAGCTGTCAGAGTGATCTCAAAGAGCTCACCAACATTCTAGCTGATAAATTCCTGATTTTGTACACCACAAGGACTGCAGCTCTGAATGTCAGCTAGTGTGTAGAGATCATCTGGGACTAAACACTCACCCCCCCCTTCCATTTTACATATGAGGAAACTAGGGCTTCCCTCAGATCACCATATAAGTGTCAGAGATTGAATTAGAGTCTAATCAGGGGTGGGGAACCTGTGGCCTCGAGGCTACTTGTGGCCTTCTGGGTCTTTGGGTGTGGCCTCTTGACTGAATCCTAAGTTTTATGGAACAAATCCCTTTATTAAGGGGATTTGTTCTGTGAAATTTGCACCCCTGGTCCTAGATCCTCTTGACCCCTAGCCCAGTACTCTCTTTCCCTGTCCAGTGCTGTCTCCTCATCAGGTGTTTTAGCAGCTCCCATTCTGGAAATCGAAGCTGGCAGATGAAGGGAACCTGTTAAGAGTTTCCTCGTTTAAAATAAGGAGGTTAAAAAAAAATAAAATAAAATAAGAGGTTGGATTTGATCCCTAAGCTTCAACCCAACCCTAAAATTGGAGTAATAGCTGTATTTGTAACAAAAATGGTTCAGCTAGGGGATGGGGGTGGGGAACAATTGGGGAGGGAGGGAGACAGTTTAGGGGCAGCTGGGTGGTACAGTGGATAGAGCGCTGGGCCTGGAGTCAGGAAGATCTGAGATCATATCCAGCCTCAGACACTAGCTGGATCATCCTGGGTAAGTCACTTCACCTCTGTTTGCCTCAGTTTCCTCATCTGTAAAGTGGGGGTAATAATAGCCCCCCCCCAGGGTTGTTGTGAAGACAAAATGAGATAATAATTGCAAAGCACTTAGCACACTGCCTGACACATATTTGGCACTATATAAATATTATTATTATTACTCCCAGGAGCAGTAGTTCTCCATCTATGGATTGGACTCTTGAGAGATGGTCTACTGTCCTAATGTGGGAAGATTCCTTTGTGGTACCATTCCCTACACCACCCCACCCCTAATTGAATTTGCCCAGGGCCTAAGCATTCCTAGTTATGGCTCTGCTTCCCACCAAGGTTTAAGCATTCAGAAGCCCCAGAGTCAAGACTAGGAGGCATCCCTATTGAGAACGAACAGAGGTTACAGAATTGGCATTATTTAACAATAAGCTCCCTCTGTCCCAGTAGGGAACATCAAGACAGAGGAGTTCAGTCTGATAATACCAGGAATTCAGTTCAAGGAGACTTAAACATCTACTTAGACACTCGAGATACAAAGATGAAAATAAAAACTGTCCCCACCCTCGAGAAGTTTCTGTTCTACTCATGAAAAAACATGCAGAGAAGTAAATAACGTACAAAGTTTAAAAAGAAAACAAAATCCCAAAGCTGTGAGGTGGCATTGCTTGTGTGTCATCTCCATTTTATGGATGATGAAACAGCCTTTAGAGGTTGATTTACACAAAGACTTCTTAGCCTCCAACTAGAACCCAATATCTCTTGACTCCTCTAGGAGTGCTCTTTGAATATTCCAATCCAAGCTCTTCTTCTCTAATGGTTTAGGTTTGGATTGTGGTCAAATCCTAGACATAACACTTAATAGCTTTGTGCCCTGGGGTAAGTCCTCTCTGACACTTTAACCTGGTACTGTGATCCTAGGTGGTTGTTGGGAAAGCCCTTTTTCAGGTCTTGTTATTCAATCATTTTTCAGTCTTGTCTTACTCTTCATGACCCCATTCAGTTTTTCTTTGGCAAAAGTACTGGAGTGATTTGCCTTTTCCTTCTGCAGCTCATTTTACAGATGAAGAAACTGAGGCAAACACAATTAAATGACTTGCCTAGGGTCACCCAGCTAGTGAGTGTCTCAGACCTGATTTGAACTTGCTAGAAAGACTAATGATGAGCACAATGGCTTCTGCTGCCTTTGTAGCTTACATCATGCATTCTTCAAGTGACTCTCAAGGTCACACAAATGGAATGATGAGATGACAGCTTTAGAACTAGAAGAGACCTTGGATATCTTCTTGTCCAGCCCCCTTATTTTACAGATAAAGAAACTGAGGGCTAGAGAAGTAATATGACTTGCTCCAGGATACATATAGTGGGGTCTGAAAAGCTCTTTGACTCCCAATCTAGTCTTTCCACTGCATGAAGTGTCAGAGCAGGGATTCAAACCTACTCCTTCAGACTCCAAACTGAAGGCTCTTTCCAGCACATCACGTGGCCTTCTTGGTGAATACTGCAACCTCTCAGCCCAGGATTAGCTTCTCCTCAGGCCTGGTAAAATTAAATCAGTTGTCTGCCTTTATGGCAGTATGCCCGTGTGGCCTGTGATTGCATATTCCAAGACTTTCAAATAAAATTCAACCCATTCTCTGTTGAAAAAGGAAAAAAAAATAGCAGATGAAATACTGTAAAACTAGCCGCATGGAAACTAGCCAGTTTTTATTAAGGATATATTCTCTCCAAGAAGTACAGTGGTGAGGCCAAGACTTTAGGCCAGGACTGCCACACTCTCAAGGCTTTGTAAACTGGGGGCATATCAAGATATAGTAGATTTCCTGCAGGAGCAATGGCTCCCTGAGCTGTGTAGGCACAGAAGGAAAACAGTTGTGGGAAGAAGGCTGCCGCTCTCTGAGGAATGGAAAAAGCAAGTGATGAGAGTTGGGGGAAAGTGAGTCTTGTTTGTTTAATCAAATCCTGGGGCTTCCTGTTCCGTGCAGTTATGAGCCTTTTGTGGGCTTCAGGAGCAAAGACTGCGTTGAGCCAACATCAGCAAACCCTTATTAAACATTTAATTCATGCAGCAGCAGAAGGGGAAAAAACCAAAACAAAACATTGACAATCCTTGCCCTCTAGAATTTGCATTCAAAGACAAATTGCCCAGAACTGGACCTGGAGCCAGAAATGGAACAGTGAAAGAGAAACCTGACTGTCAGTTACCGATTAACTATGAATA